CAGTCAATAATTGCTTATTGCCTGCAGGTATGGAAGCATCAGCCTAGCAGTAGACCAATTACATCCTCAAGCAGTTTAGGGTCAGGATCCTGGCCACAGCAACTTCATTTTCCTCACAGCAGGGTGTGCACCAGAACCTCCTTCCTATTTCTCCCACACAGTAGGACTGGAAATGAAGTCATGTTTCCAGAACTGGGATCCAGGGGCCAGATCACACTGCTGGGCTCCTACCATCTGAGCCAAGTAACCTTGTTTGCAAACACACGTGATAGCTAGGGTCCTGGAAGAGCTATGGAACCAGTCACACCCACTCTTTCTTCTCTCCCATATGGGATGCACCCGTTATCTCTGCGTCATCTCTGTCTGCGATTCTATTTCTTACAAATGCTCCCTTGGCTGGGGTCCTATAACCATCCTCCCAGCCCACAAGACCTGACTCCTTACTGCCTTCTTCAGTTGAGTCTCCTAGAATGAGTGTTATTCCCCACGACGTTCCAGAGGATTCCATTGCTGTTTTTGCAGCCACAAGACGGAATGACCTGGCACAGACCACTTCTAGAATTAGGACTGAAACTGCTCTGCACCCTTAAAATTGTGACTGGGTCTTTCGGGTGCTCTCTTCCAATCCAGCCTAAGAGACCAGGTTTTCCTCCATAATTAACTCTCCCTCCCCTTGGCCCAACTAGCACGTGGAGCCCTAAAGCCTTGGAGCCCAGGTTTACCTTAGTTACCTTGGTTCTAGTCTTACAACATAGAAAGACACCTGAGGGAGCCCTGTGTCTTTAGGTATCTGTGCTTTAGGAAAAACTTTCGATAATTGGATCCTGATTCCAACAAACCAGCCACAAAGGACATTTTTTGAATAATCGGGGAAACTTCAATAGGGGCAGCCTATGAGATGATATCGCAGGAACAACCGGTAATTGTTTTGGGTGTGAAAACTGCAAGGTGGTTTTTTAATAAGTCCTTAACAGGAATTTATACTGAACTTTTCACAGGTGAAATTTTATAAGATTTGTTTTAAAATAAGGCAGAAAAAAATAAATGAGGAGAAAAGATAAACCGAGATGGGCACAAGGCTACTAATGGCTGGATCCGGGTAGAGGTGTGTGGGGATTCATAAATCTCTTCTCTCTACATTTTATATTGCTTAAAATTTTCCATGCTAAAGTTTTTTTTTTATTTGTGAAGAACATACAGAGACTTACCATCTTATCAGTGTATTTCTATCTTATGAGTGCCAGTGAGGGTCCCAACTCCAGTCAAGAAATAAGAGTCCAATGTGGGCTGAAAAAATCTGGGGTTTTTTCCACCTGGGGAAAGACAGCACCAGGAGAAAATGAACACAGTCCTAGGAATCTCTTATAAAGCTCAGTCTCCCTGGATTCTAAAAGCTGCGTTTTATTGACCAATTTTTACTGACTATGTCCAAGACTATCAGAGCCTAAGTGGACGTCAGGGCTGGAAATAAGAATGCTTAAAATTGTTTGGAATTATTTTTTATAAATGCACTTTTATTATGTCTGGAAATATATATATAGTATCTTAAATGTATTTAAAGTTTAAAAGTAGCTACTGTTCAAGGAAGCAATAAAACATGCTATCAATTTCAAATTGCACTCAAATGTTCATAAACATACAGGCGACAAAAACTACTCACCCCATTAGATTCAACTATTAATATGAAATAGAACCACCATCTGCCCTGGCAAACAGAAAATTTTTCACTCTTCCAGGTTATATTGTTACCCAATAAAAATACTAGTACATTTTGAGTGTTAATAGAGTTGTCAAAGGGTCTAAGCCAAAGTTAAAATTTCCAAGGGGAAAATAATCATGAAAAATTCCACATCATCTTTTTTAATAGATCACTAACTTCAGGTTTCTTAAGGTGCTAGAAGCTTACCCTGCACAGCAGGTTGTGTTTATGTCCTATTAAGGGACCATTCGTTCCTCTTGCCCAATGGTCAATGAGTCATTCATTCAACAAGTACTGAATCGCTCCAACGTCCCAATGTTCCAGAGCAAAGGCTTTGAGGAAATCAGCTTATTCAGGGATACAGTAATGAAAACCAACATTTGAAGAGCATTTTTGCAGTTCACAAAGCACAAAACTTCCTTACTGTCTGAGCCAGGTTCAGAAGCTGCTTCCTTATTTGAAAAGGAAGGACAACGTTATCATCCAGCTGAACAAGTTTTGAGTTTTGATTTTTTGCTTTTATTTTTTTTTTACGTTTTGTTGAACAACCGCTTTGCACCTGGGGCTACCTTTCTGTTGGTATCACAGACGGTTGGTAGGATGACCCAAAGCACTGCACCCAGCTGGGCAGAAGGCAGGCTCTGGCAATGCCCGTTCACTTTCCAGTCACTTACTTCTTCGGATCTTTCCCAAGACCTTCCCTAAGCCCACTTTCCCAGCCTGCCTGTTTGGCAGTGATTCAGTCTCCCTTCTGCCGCTCTGCCCAGACTTGGAAGCTCCCATCGCTGTGAGCACGTCCAGTGTCAGCACCCTGCTGGGCAGGGTCCCCCACCTGTCTCAGCCCAGCCCTGCCAACAGGACCCAGACAGGGTGGTGGGCCGGGGGCCTGGAAACAGGAAACCAGTCCGATCTGCTGTACTGAATTAGATAGACTGAAACTTTTAACTGCTTCTGATGCTGCTGAATTCTCGGGAACCGCTTGAAAAGCAACGCTTTGTGTCTTCTTAATCCTGGCAAGGCTGACTCACAAAGAAAGTACCCTTGGAGCCTGCATGAGTGAGTGGGGGGCTTCGTGGGGGGAGGCTCTGAATGGCTAGGCTGGCCTTTCCATTGCAAACCAGGCTTCCCACTCCTCAGCCATTAGTAACACCCATCCCTTCTTTGCCTGTCACATTGTCTTAGCTCCCACTTCTGACCAAGGAACCCCATTAATTTTCTGTGATGTACATTCCAAATGACATCACCTTGGTTCTTTGAAATTCAAAGAGCTGGATTAATGAACCACAGACTTCAAACAAATTGGCTGTGTAATCCATCACATCTGACCACAGCTTTGCCAGGGCCTCGAATTCCAAAGAATGGCAGAAATTTCCCAGGCTGCTTTTGAAAATGAACACAGAAAGCCTGAAACCACAGCCGACGCTGTGTTCATTCTTTCTAGAAATGTTATGTGTCTTCTGTGTGCTAGAAATTAAATGGTCCCATTCTCTGCCTGGAATTTTATTGATGTAAATGTAACCTGTTCAAATGTTATATTAAATTCCAATCTTTTCCAGAATAATGTACATTTAATTCCTCATTCTGCCAATCTATTGAAAATATCCCTCTTGGCAGCTTTTCAGAAAAGCGATATGAATTGCAAACTCTTTTTGATTTTGTGGAAGTCTTGAGAATCTACATATTCAACTGAGGCCTTTTTATTCCATTCCATTTCCCCACGCTCCTTTCATATAATGTCAGAGCCACAAAAACCAGGAGCAGTGACTGGGCACAGCCATTCACCTTTCCTTCAGTGGTGAAAATGGCATTAATGGTAGAGAGTGAAAGAATATATATCAAACTAATTACTTCCCTTTTTTCCTAAGAGACAAATCTCACACCATTCTTTTGGACATAATGTCATTTATTTCACCTAAGGGGGTTTTTGTGTGCTCAAAAAGGATGGTGTTTAATACATGTGAATCAAAACCCAGATGAGCTAATTAACTGATGTGGCTGAGAATGAAAAGGAGAATCGATATGCTGTGAAATTGTTCAGAGCACAGAAGAAATGCCACGCCAGCTGAGACTCGTTCATGCGGTCCGGCGTGCTCTCTGCCAGTGAAACAAAAGGTGCTTTGTTTTAGAAGCACAGTAGAATAAAACTTGGGTTAGTTGGAGTGGTCAGGAAATGAATTCTTGCTGGAGAGCTAAGTTTTCCAGAAAGCTGAAGGTAAGTTCTTCAGGTCACTCAAGTTTTTGTTTATCTTACCAACTTCCTTCTTTAACATTGCTTGCTCATTCAGAGTCATCACTATAAACACCAAAAACTAGGCACTGAGGCCCTAAAGACATGATGGATAGTGAAGGGTTATTTGTCCCTTCTTTAAATTGCCCCAAATTGGGCTGCGTGTGCCTGATGATGACCTCTGCCTTGAGTTCTCTATTTCCTGACTCTCTGAGTGGGCTCTAGAAGACTGAATCCCAGGCAGGTAATATGATGCTTCCAAGAAGTGTCACTGATAATTAAGAAACCTTTGCTTTCTCCAAATCCCTAACCAGCCTACCCAGCTGGCTGACTTCAGGCACATTTCTTAATGTTTCTCTGATCTGTAAAACACAGAACATAATCATACCTCCCTCAGAAGGCTGATGTGATCAGTAAATTAGATAATGCTAGTAAACAGACAAGAATGATACATTTCCTAAAAGGACAAAGTTTCTTGGTCTCGGTATCAATTTATTCTGGATCTTGTTTTTGCTTTTTATTTCTTATTTGTCTTCTGTTTGATCCTGTGGCTACCATCCATCCCTTTTCATGTTGCCAGACCACCTGCTCCTTCTAATTTTCTTTTAAAAAATGCCATATTTTCTGTGGGTGTGCCAAAATAAAATGAAGGTTCTTAGAACCGTGCGTAAGGCAAGAGAAAATAGGCCTTGACCTGCGGCCTCTGCTCTGCCCTGAAAGCCTTCCCCAGAGGCTTTGGGCAGTTTTATCTGATAAATAGTAGCCTGCTTTCATTCTCCCACAGAGCATCTGGATGGCCATGATTTCCAGGAACCTGACCTCTGCTTGTGGTAAAGGACCATGTCTCCACGTCATTTTCTCTAAACACTCCTCACAGTCTCAGTTTTGTTCAAGGATTAGGACTGAAATAAATGCATATTTACAAAATACAGAATGTTTTCAAAATATTGTAGGGCAAAGAAATTGCATGATTTTATCTATGAAGTGTTTTTCAAAACCAGTCAAGCCTCTAGACCTAACTTTTTTTTAAGAGGGGAGGGAGAACTATCATGGGTAGAAGCCATGTAAGAGCTGAATCCACCACATCAGCACGCAGATGTTTGAAATCGTCTTTGAAGAAGCTAACCAAAAGCACACCTTTTCAAGACCATCTTGGACCATTAAACATGAAAGAGGTATTCTAGGATATTAAGGAATGATTTTTTTATTTCTGTTGTCATGATGATATTGTGGTTATATATATATTTTTTAATCTTTATTGCAGATACCGATGGATGCATTCACAGGTGAATGATATGATGTTTGGAATTTCTTTTCTAGAACTCCATCAAAAAACAGTGTGTGTGTGTCTGTGTGTGTGTGTGTGTGTGTTTACAAGGGAATAGTTCTTAAAAACAGCAGAATACTGATAAGCATTAAACCTGAAGAATGCTACCTAGGGGTTTATTACACTATTCTCTTTACCTTTCATGAGTTTGAAATTTTTACAAATGAGTCTTTAAATTTATAGGCTGATACATTTTTAGGATGTCATTTTAGCTAATACATTAAAGCACCATGCTCCCTGGAATGGAAGGCCAACTGAAAACTCCATCAGTCCAATCATCTACCAGCACCTACTGTGCACCTGGCCAGGCAGCTCTGAAAAGTCAGCTCATTAGCAACCATTCCTAATACAGCCTCTGACATGTGAATTCAATGTTGCAAAATCGTGGTCACAGTGAGATTCTCATTCAGGGTTAGCACGATTTGAGAGACAATTCCATGTGTCACTTTTGACCTTGTATTAAATCTCAAGTATGTTTAATTACTATATAGAAACATGGAAGTGTGGCATCAATTATTATTAACCAAGTTAATGGAGATTTATCCAGTGAGACAGCTCACCTGTCTCCATGTTCTTCTACCTCAGTTCCTTTGGATTTTCAGATGTGTTTAACACCATTAAGGCTATTTTTGGAATCGTTCATTACTTCCAAAGAGTCTTGGGTCTTTAATACTTTGAGTCTAGCAAAAACAGCATGTACCTGAGAATCGGGAGATAGGAACTCATGCCCAGACTCTGCCTTGATGAAAGAGACACTTTTCTGCTCTGAAGTTCAGTCTCCCTATGTAGAAAGTAAGTCTAATTGCACATGTCACACATTTTACAGAATTATACGAAATGACACCTGCCCCCATAAGGATTACTTAAAAATATACAAGACATGTGGCAAATAATGTTTAATAACTTGAGAGGCAGGAGCTGTGACCTCAGTTCAAGCCTTCCTATTCATCCAGGAACAAAAGACGTCTGGACAGCAATCCAGTCCTTGACACCTTCATGCTCATTTGGATGCTGGAGGCCTTTCAATCTTGCAACCCTCTAGGACACAGTGGCAGGATGTCTTAGGGGCGCCTGAAAGATGCATGGACATCTGTACCCTGAGTTAACCCCAGAGGTGGTGAAGCAGCATTTCCAACAGTATTTTTCAACTCATACCCTGGTGATGGGGACTCACAGCACCACTGTGACACAGGGACAAGGCAGCCTCGCTCAGCAGGACATATCCTAATCTTCAGGGGTGACTGTCTACAAGCTCCCCTTGATAGCATTTCTCTAGGACTCCCTTTGTTGTGTAACTAACACAGATGCTGCAAAATATTGAATGAACATCTGCCCCTCGCATCTCTCACGGAGTTTATGGTAATAGTGTGTTCAAGCAACACACACAAGCCTCCACCCCATGACCACCCTCCATGGATAAAGAAATCCATTGACCCAGATAGAGAGGAAAAGAAGGAAATGAATGTCCTATCTAACAGGATCATTAAAACTGGAGGGTTGTTTCAGATAAATACAACATTGTACAGAGATGATGGTGGCCATCCTCGTGCATTGAGCCAGTGCAGTAGGCAGGAGCCACCTCTGATAACTTACCTGAAAATCAGCCTTCTGAGGCAAGCCCTGATAACAGGGGTAGGCAGCATGGCCTCGACCCTTTGCGGTGGATGGGTCTAGAACTCGTATCAGTGCCTCAGAGCCCACACCCATTAGCAGTGCCAGTCAGCTCTGGTTTGCCCTCCCCTGCACCCCAACACTCCCTAGCCCTACCACAGCCTTCCAACTCGTCCATCCCCCCTTTCCCAGCACACCTGGGCTGAAGCGAGGCCACTGTGATGTGAGAACATTCCTTCCCCTTACATGATTCTGGATTTTCATTATTTCTAATCAACAGGAGCAAATCTCTACCCACCTGGCCTGCCCCTTCCCTTTCTCCTTCTGCATTAGACATCATTCCAAAACTGGCAGGTCTCTAAGGGCACGAATAATCCATTTGCACCCTTCAGTTCTGTTCTGCTCAGCTTCTGAGCAAAGATCTCACTGCCCCCCTCAAATGCTAATAATAACCCCGTTTGTACTCTGCTTGCCCTCCAAATGTTCCTGTTTAGCTCCCCACCCTGGATTTTGGGTACACACTGAGCAGAGTTGAAAATACCTCAGGGACAGTTGTGATCCGGGAATTTGGAGAACTCCGGGTTCCACACTGCAAGATGGCTCAATGGACGGCCCTGAAAATAGAGCCCATGTGATGAGCTCGAACAAAACGCTGGCACTCTCTGGCCCCCGGATGGGGCACAACAGACGTGTGCAGTCAGAGACCCAGATCAGAGGGAGGCAGTCAGTAGCAGGCGTATCCGACGCAAAGCCAGCGTGGAGCCAGGCAGGCGCCTGCAGCTGCAGAGCCTCCCCTCTGTTCCAGCTCACACACTGAGCATGCACCGTGCCCAGCCCTCTCTTTAGAACAAAAATGGCTCAGCCTGCCCTCTGTTCTCTCCATGCACAGGGAGGCAGCAGAGGGTGCTTCTGGCCTGTGTCAGCCCCAAAGCACATGCTCTCCAAACAAATGGGAGTCAGGAGTGTCATCACAACAGGATGGGAGGTGGGACTTTTCCCTCCAACATGTGTTTTTGAGGTTTTCCTCCAAGGATAAAAGGTCCTGGGAAAGATGTCCCCAGCCTCTGACACTATTATCAGAGTGCTGGGGATACTGAGCGAAAGTCCCCTTGTCACCCTTCACATGGCCAACAATGGACAGCAAACAAACTCACAGCCGGCACTGCAAAGTCCGGTCCCCTCCTGGCTTCTCTGAGGGCAGCATCCGCATGGCTGGGCCACGGGCCAGCCATTCCCAAACCCGCTGTGAGTTGGAATGATGGAGACCTCCCAGCCTGGAGGGCAAGAGTCTCGGGTGACAGGGACCGTGCAGGCAGTCCCTCCAAGAGGCCACCAAGCCCCCACTCTCAGGACTCCTCCAGGGTCAGAGGACGTCTGACAGGAGGACACGTCTGCAGAGGGGCAGGCCCAGAGGTGTGGCCTGGGCCCACAGCTCCACCAACCTTTCGGAGCTTTCTAGGAGAAATGCCGTAACATCATCCAAGCAGTGTTAAGATTTCATTGCTCCAAACACACTATGGTGCAAGGATTTTGTCCAGTTGCCTTGGAGAAGACAAGAGAAATAGGAGAAGAGTCCATTGCTACAGGAATTCACATCGGCTGGCCAGGAGAAAGGACCCAGGATTAGGTAAAACAATGTCAAACCATGTAATAATTCCTATAAGGTCACTGGGAGGCCAGTTCAGATTAGAAAAGGCTGCATAAAGGAGGCTTGAGCTGACCTTATCGGAACTGATGTTTATTCAGCAAATGTTTATTTTGTTTAGTCACTAAGAAATTATTTAGTTATTATTATGGGCCAGCCATAGGGTAAATTCCTCACCAGGCTTTGAAGAAGGTACTGTTGTTATCTGCATTTTACAAATGAGCAAAGCACACTTAGAAACATTAAGTCACGGAGGGTCAGCTCGGCCACACTAAGGTTGGCATCCCCTGGAACCTGTCCGATTCTAATGCCTGCTTTTCTAAGCACCATGTTACTCTTGTTACTTGGTGTCCCTTACTGTCACCAGCCTCCAAGGGGCACAGCGAGAGGGGCCAAGAGGAAGAGAGGATGAGCTACTGACAGAGATGGAGGAAGAGGGAGCAGAGATGAACAGAGAGGGGCTGTCCTGTCCTCATTAAAAAGCAAGTTTCCTGCCTAACAATGACTTATTTTTTACCCGTGTGTTCATCTAGATATCCAAAACTTCTCTGATGAACGTGTAAATGTGTATAATAGCAATTAATATGGCATTGATATTGTAGGTGGGGCAGATTTGGGGAGCTTTTAAGCAGAGGAATCAGAGTGTGCAACCTTCTGGAATTGCATCGCTTCACGTGTCCGAGGGGGCAGCTGAGGCGTGGGACTAGCAAGAAGCTCAAGGACACAGCGAGGGGAAGGCCAAGCGGTGGGAAACCAGGGATGTCCCCATCGCACTGTGTCCAGCTGCATTTTCCCAACAAGGGAAGCATCAGGATGCCAGTGATGGTTTAGCAAGATTAGTAGAGTGGCAGACTGGAGGGCCAGAAGGAATTGGGAGCAGCTGCGCCGAGACAAACTCCAGCAAGGAAGGCATCACCGGGCTCCAGACTTGGCCTGGATCAGGATGCTTAGTAGCCAAGAACAGCAGAGAGAACATTTTAAACTATACCAAAGGAAGGCGTGATGGAACCTGGGAGGCAGGGGTGCCCAGACCATGGCAGAGTTAAGGGAATGAGAGGTCTGTGTTCTGGAAGAGACGACAATGGCGCAGCGTTCAGCTTCCAGACCGCGCTACGACGCAGAGGTCAACCTGTGTTGGACTCGGAGACCCTGAAAGCCAAAGGCAGAAGCACCTGCCCCAACCCCATCACCGGTCAGCCGCACTGCCACAGTTCTGGGCACTAAAATGACAGTTCTCTACCTTTTTCCCTTTGGCGATATACCTGACATCTGTTATGTGCATACACAACAGGCTCCTCAAATTTTGATGAAACCCATACAAAATTTTTGTGCAAGTAAAATGCTGCCCCATATTGCATTTTTGCAGTTATTAGCACACAGGTTTTTGCGGTGGGAGGTTGCATGTAGGATAGGCCCTGTGGTCTGTGGTGTGCTCACTGGGCCCCTAACCATTTTTCTCCTACTGGAGAAAGCCCATCAGAGTGCAGGTTGATGCGGAAAATCATCTCAGACCTACTTCAAGTTACTGAGAATTCATAAGCATTGAGTCTTTCACTTAGGTGAGAATGAAATGTTGTGAGACCCACTGTGGTGTCAGGACACGGTGTCTCTGGAGAGCCCATCCCACCTGTTCTTGTGGGAAGCCATGCTCTGACCTCTGACCAAGAGGGGACAGATGCCTAGACACCACCCTGACCTCAGTCAAGTTCAGACTTAAACTCAGTGATGGATCCCTGACACTGTCCTCCCCGCACACCCGACACTCCAGCTCCATGGATCCACATTCCTGATCAAAAATCACTTTCTTCAGTCAACTCATTTGACCCAATTGGTCCTCGACTGTTCCCTTGGACAGGGGTTGCATGGGGTCTTACTGACCACTCAATATCGCCCACGACATAGCCCCTGGTGGAATGTAAGGAGAGAGGTTGGATGGGGAGGACATAGGAACAGAGCGACTAGAGCTACGATACCACCAAGGGGCCTGAAGGTGGGAGAAGGTAGATGCCCGTGCCCGTGAAAGAACAAACACACACACCACAGGCTCCCACCTCCTTTATCTTCTCCAGGCAGGGTCATCCCCGTGTCTTACATGCCAGCTCTTCCTGTCGCAGTTTATCATCTGGCCCCGGTCCGCCATGTTATTCTGTTCCAAGCACTGTGTTCTCCCTTCTCTTACCTGATGGAAACGTCAAGGTGCGTGACCCGTGGCTCAGCTCTCTCTGCCCAAACGCACCTTGCCCACTCTCACAAGGCTTTCCTCTGACCAGTGGGGCCCCAGTGCTGCCCACTACCTATGTCCCACTGTAGAAGCACCACAATGAAATGGGGTGCCATGTCAGAGGATTCTGTCTTCCAGGAAAATTATGATTTGGGGGCTTGGAATTTGATGGCCTTCAAGTAGAGGTTTTTCCATAAAGAGACTAGCAATACACAATCCAGAGAAATTTAAGAATCCCCTGCCATTAACAATATTATATTTATTTTCTTCTTATAGGCAAGAGAAATCTGGTATAACCTTTTTACTACAAGACCTGCTGATGCAGTGACCATATTATCCCGATTGACTGACCAGCATAAGTATGCACCTGGGAGCATGAGGATAGAATATTTCAAGTCAGGAAGGGTCTTGGGGATCTCGGAGGGGAGAAGTACATGGCTATTGCATCTGCTGTCTGAGCCCATTTTCCCAGCTATTACACAGGGAGAAATTTCCTGGCATAATCATTAGTGTCGTCTTCCTCAACTGCTGAATTAACACTTCAGATTTCTACCTTTCAGTCTTCAAAGGAGGAAAGCCACATGTCCTCATCCCCTGACTGATATAATTTCTAGCTTGAAATCAGTTTTGCTTCCTTTACTTTTATTGATTTTTATGTCTAAGCAGATTTTCTAGACACTCTTTAACCCTCAATCATGGAGTCCAACAGATCCACACAGGTGATGAATGGGGGAGAGAATCACACACCAGATTAGAGGGCTTTTTGGTTGCAAGCTGCCCAGTCACCAATAGCCCATGTCCACTCACAAAGGAAACGAATGTTTAGCTGGCCTAGGAACAAGACCTTTTTAACAAGGAAAGAATTATCTCTTGCAAAGTGCCCCCAAATCACTACAACTTAAGGTGTTTGCTTCATTATGAGACAAACGAATTTGGGGGAAATTGGGTTCAGGACTGAACCTTAGAGATAAAATCATCAGTGTCATTTTACAGATGGATGAAGCGGGGTCGGGTGGGGGGGCAGGATGTTTCTGTGAGTCGGGGACCCGTGACTGTGTAACATCCTCCCAACCAAGTTGGCTTGGTGCCCTGACCCCTGCCCCTGGGAATCCCACATTGGCATCCTCCATTCACTCAGCATTTATTAAGCACCTATTATATAGCAGGCCCTAGTAACCACAATGCAGTTGCTGCTGGGGAAACTGTAGACCAATCCAGGAGAGAAGCACCAAAATGCCAGCCCAGTTAGGTGATGACTTGAGCCCAGCAGACCACAGCAGGAACCCAGTGGCAAGGCCGTTACAGTGACGTCTCAGAGCAGTGGCAAGGTCCCCGGCACTGGGGTGGTCATTCCAGGGAGAAGACAGGATGGATCCAAGAAGTACTTAGCAGGTAAAATTAGCAGAACTGCTGACTGATGGGAAGCGGGACATAACGCACAGTGGAGTTCCAAAGGCCTCCTAAATATTTTGTCTTCATGGACTGATAACCAAAAGAAGAAATGTGGTAGTGAGGAAAATGGGCAGGCTCTCCAGAATGCAAGTTAGAATGGGAAAAGTAAGAGAGAGGCACTCACAAACGCTCTGGAAGGGTAAAAGGAGAGGTCAGGCCGGCTGGAGAAACCAGAAGGCTTCCTGACAGAAGGGACATCGTAGCTGAGCCCTGAGAAATGAGTAGGATTCGAGGAGGTGAAGGGGGAAGGGCAAGGCATTCTGGGTAAAGGGCCCAGCTTGAGCAAAGCTGCGTTGGCGGGTGGGGAAGAGTCCGATGTGGTGGCACAGAGGATGGGAACGGGTGGACGGTGGGAGGTGCGGTCAGGGCTTCAAACGCCCTGAGGAGAAGTCTGGACTGTCCCCTAGGCACTGGGTGAGGGTGAAGGCTTTTGACAAGATCAAAGCAGAGCTATAGACAATCCTTCCCCACTTTTTTCAGACTTACATCGTCTTTCTGAGCCTAATCCAAAGCAGAGGAGTCAATTCCGCACTGCTTGGGAGACTTGAAAATGAATCAAAATGTAATTAAATAAAATCTCTTCCACATTCCTCTGGCTGGCTTCTCTCCAAGAAGGCAGATGGAAAGAGGTGGGCATGGCTAACGCTTGCCCTTCTATGCTGATCAGTGATCCAGCTGCCCCACGGAGCTCTGTAGGTGGGTCTCGGATCCACTGATGGGCACCAGGAGTGCTTAACGACCAGAGCCAATGCCCACCCCCAGAGGAAGGGGAGAGCTGTCCACAGAAATTGGGGCAAGAAGCCAGCCTTCTGGAGCCCCTTGTGAAGAGGAGTTGCAGGTGGAGAGGTGGAAAGGGACCAGGGGCTACGTGGCCTTGCCCCCCGGCAGACCCTGCTCCGACGGCAAACAGGCCCCCGGGCGGGCCGCGCAGCCCCTCCCCACCATCCACAGTGTCCTCACGAATCTGAATGGGACCCAGCCAGCTGACAATGGGTTTGTGCAAGTGAGATGCAGGATTCCAAAGGAGGAAATGAAGTACAGCGCCCGAGAAAAGCCCCAGGAATCCTGCAGGAAAAATGCAGTAAGTACGAGCCCTGGAGCCAGAAGCCTGTGTTCCGGTGGAAGGTGCACGCGCACACCCCCAGGGGGGCGTCCTCAAGGTCACAGGCCGCATGGAGTCTACCCCCTCCCACGTCCGTCCCTCTCCCTCGGACTGGGACTTCCTGAGGCCATGGGCCAGCCAGATGTCATCGCCGGACTCCCTCTTAGGGTCAGAACCTAGCACAAGACCTGTCTTACAATAAGGTTGAAGACAGACAGACTGGCGGACTCAGATGGCAGCAGGGGGCGTGGGATGCAGCAGGAGTGTGAGCGCCTCAGACAAGTCATGCCGACGATTGGTAATGGGTAAATTTAATGAATCAAGTCTACATAAAATACTCTGCTCTAAACCCAGCTCTATGTTTCTGAGTGTGGGTGTGGGTGACCAATGGCTACATTATGCCATTTCTTGCTTTTTTTGTCCCAACCAGAACTGTTGTTTTCCAGTTTTTATAGGCGTGTACGCTGAGAACTGGGGTTTGCACTCCCCTGCACCCACTCTCTGTCCTTCTGGCAACTGTGACTCGGTTTCCTTTTGGGAAAATCAGAGTGCCCTGATTTGCTCGGCAGAACGGTCGACCAGAGGGACACACCCTCCCCTGGCGGAAGAGTCAGGCACGCCATCGAGGCCGGACACATTCAACTCTCTCTCTTCCTCCCTCTTGCTGTCACTCTTTGGGGACTTGGTGTCTCTATCAGAGCTAACAGAAGGACAGAAATAAATTGTTCGGGCTTTGTTATAAATAATAGACACTTTATTATTTTGACACAAAATAATGCATAGCCATAAAAAACACAGTGATTCCATGCCAGCCCTGAATCCGAATGGGAACTGGCAGGAGTACCGTGGCTACCCAGATCGTGGAGGGGACATGGGAGGTGTGCCAATGACTCCAGCATCGTCATTCAAGTCCTTACTCCGCAGAGACCCAAGGGCCAGGCAGTGTGGCCACCCTGCCCCCCACCCGCCCCCACCCCCGCCCCCGCCCTTAAAACAAAGACTCAGCCACCGAATAGTACATGGTGGGGTCGGGGGTGGGGTGGGGTGCGTGAGGAGACACAGAGGAACCACAACAGTTTCAATCTTGCCTTTTATACTCTTTCCTTAGTTTCAGGCACTACGTACAGATTACATAATTCAACACCACAAACTGGCCATGTAGGTGCTATCATGCCCGTGTCAGAATATGATAGGGAAACACACAGGAGACAACGGTGGAGACCCCGGCTGGATTTTGAAATGTGCTGCACACCATGGAAATAATTCTGTCCGAGGATGGAGCTGTGCTGCAGACAAAGTCCCCCCGGGTAACCACAGAGCACGCAGGTGGCTACTCACAGACACACCATGCTAATAAGCATTTCTTTGCAAGACCCAAACATAGTGGGCGTGAGATGACTAAGTAACACCAGGTGTAATAGGAGATGAACTATCCAATACTCAAAGATTAGTACTGAAAGGAACAGCATCCATTGGGCTGAATATTGAACATATAAATCTCATAAATGTCCTTATATTCGTTAGCGCTCGTTGGCAAAATAGTGGAATGAAGTAACCACTGGGCACGGGTGTAGTACAGGGCTGGCCCTCTGATGTGACCTGCCTCTTGTC